TCGGCTGCCGATTTTGTCCGCTGATCCGATTCACTTCGAGCGCCGATCCGACTCGTCGACTCGATCCTGGGGGGGGCCTGCTGGGGTCCTCCTCCCTCTGTGAATTCAAGCTTCGCGCGGCCCGCTTAGCTTCGACCGGAAGAGGTGCGCTCTCCCCTGGCTCCTGATCCGCCGTACTTTGGATGATTTTCCGACCTAAAATTGTGTCGGAAATCGACGCCAAAGGAGCCTCAAGGGCGGAAATCGACGCTCAAAGGGGCCTTAAAAGTAGGGCGGAAATTTCCGCCCTACTTTCGAAATCGCCCAAAGTAGGGCGGATCAGGAGTCAGGGTCGACCCGCGAATCAAAAAACTGCCCCATTGGGCCCCTTCTCCCGGCACTTCGCTCGGGGGCCTCCCGCGGAGGGCCTCGCCGACCGCGGCGAGCAGGGCGCGGGGCCTCCGCGCTCGCGCTCTGCAGCCTCTCGGGCCAGCAGCCTCTGGCGGGCCCCGCTCCCGTGGCGGGGGCCTCCTCCTCCTCCTCCTCCTCCTCCTCCTCCTCCTCCTCTCCTCCTCCTCCTCCTCCTCCTCCTCCTACTTCCTCCTCCTCCTCCTCCTCCTCCTCCTCCTCCTCCGCCTCCTCCTCCTCCTCCTCCTCCTCCTCCTCCCCCTCCTCCTCCTCCTCCCCCTCCTCCCCCTCCTCCTCCTCCTCCTCCTCCTCCTCCTCCTCCTCCTCCTCCTCCTCCTCCTCCATCATCAATCATCATCATCATCATCATCTCATAATCATCATCATCATCATCATCATCATCATCATCATCACATCATCATCATCATCATCCTCCTCCTCCTCCATCCTCCTCCTCCTCCTCCCCCCCTCCTCCCCCCCCATCCCCTCCCCCTCCCCCTCCCCTCCTCCTCCTCGAGGCTTCGCCTCGCCGGGGCGCCTGTCGCCCCTTCCCCCCCCCCCCCCCCCCTGCGCGCGCCGCGGGGCTGCTCGAGCCCGGCCTGCCCTGGTGGCCGGCCGCCGCCTCCTCTGGTACATGTCGGGGTCGACTGGTAGGATGTCGGGCCTGTCCCCCCTACAGGAGGAGTACGCAAAGATGGTCCAGAGATAGTCTCGGGACGACTGTGGACTATTGTCCGCACTTTTGCATTCTACGTGTTCGGACTATGCTTGCTGTGTCGTCCAAAGTCCGCCTGCAGGGGGACATGCCCGACCTAAGATTAGCAGTAGGTCGACACCCTGCCAGGTCAAGGGCACCCTCGTGTGCTGTATGTGTTTCCAGAGCCATGTCTCCACGTGCCTGTTGCAGCGTGGCCCCTTGGCAGGGTCTGGTGTCCTCTCGCGCGTCGTCTCCAATCAACCCCGACTGTGTCGCGCCCGCACGGCTGCGCCCGGCCTCGGCCTTCAAAATGCGACGCCTCCTCCCTCTCCTCCTCCTCCTCCTCCTCCTCCTCCTCCTCCTCCTCCTCCTCCTCCTCCTCCTCCTCCTCCTCCTCCTCCTCCTCCTCCTCCTCCTCCTCCTCCTCCTCCTCCTCCTCCTCCGCTGAAAGAAACAAGTTTGCACCACCTGGGCGGCAAGGCAACTGATGATACGACCCCCCCGCCCCCGACTGCAACATTGAGAGCGGACGCGCACGCTGAAGTATCGAATGTATCTTTATTTTTGTTCGAAGGGCCCCGGGAGACGTCACAACCATCCATGTGGAAGTCGGGGCCGCGGGGGAGCAGCAGTGCCATCCGATTCGCAGTTCGAGCCGAATTGGTGCAAACACTGTTCTTTCAACAGGAGCTCCTGCCCGCACGGCTTCCACGTCTGGGGCGCCCTCCGGCTGGCCCGCAACCCTCCGACCACGGGCCCCTCGACCGCAGCCCTCCGACCCCGGCGGGGCCCCCGGGGCTCCCGCGGCGGTTGTGGAGCTCCGCTTCGCCCACAGTGGAGGCTCATGCGGCGCGCAGAGGGGGGGGGAGGGGGGAGGGCTTCTTAGAATCACCTCTCCCCAGAAGGCGCGGGCTCCATCTATAGATATAGGGCCGGCACCTTCTAAGAAGCAGCCTTCTTCGGAGAGGCTTTCCCCCCTCCCCCCCATCCCCCCTGCATGCACCCCACCAGCAGTGCCCTCGCCGTACAGTGGAAACCCATGCCAAGAAACACATTGCTTGCGGGTTTCTTGGGTTTCGATGCTTTTGCGATGGAGAACGTGACGTTCCCACACCAAAAATCCATGGACGTCCTGGGGTCTCGGGGCTGGGTTTCTTGCCGATGGTTTCTTGTGGTCGGGCCCCTACTGTACTCCTCCCCGCGGGGTGCCGGCCTCCTCGATTGGGTTATCGGCTTGGGGGGACAGGCAGCACGACTGAATGCCAGCTCCGACAGTGGGTGGGCTTCGTGTGAAGACAAAACTTCATTCTGCTCAGGTTAGTCTTTCTGCTTTGTCTCACAGTCCCTGAGACCACTAGCCATTATGTTTCAAAAACTCTCTGGGGGCATCTTTGTCTCCCGCCAGAAAAGTCAGGTTGAACCTCGAACAGCCCACCAAATTCTTTCAAGCCCTCGATGTCTAATTGTCCTCGTGCTGGGGCTCCAGCCTGAGTCTCGGGCGCCCGCTGTGCTCGCTTTTGTCAACCACGCATCCACGAGCGCCTCCTGCATGCCCTAACAGTCGCTGTCCAAATCGTGATCCTCGTAAATGTTGTGCAGGACCCGGTTCTTCTGAACTGCTCTCGTTCCGCGATCCTCATCTATCCAGCCTGCTCGCACGAGCATCGTCTTCAACTTCTCCGTCGGCAGAGAACTCGCGAAATCCAGCTCTTTCCCCTTGCAGTACAATTTCTCGCGTCGTCGGGTTGCCTTGCTACTGCCAGGCGGCCCTCCGACCGCAGACGTCGCCGAACTCGGGGTCGCTATGGTGGGACGGATGCCCGCCATTCGTCGATTCGTCGATCGCCTTGCGCCAATTCTCGATTCGTCGATTCGTCAGTTCGTCGAATGACGTTTTTGTCACCGGTGTTTCGACCGCCTTGCGATTTCTCCTCTCGTCCTCCTGCCAGTCATCCCCGCAGTAGGCCGCCGTCGTATACCTCCAGGCCTTGGGCTCCTCCGTCTGACCTCTCCCCGGTCCCGCTCTCCGGCCGGCCGCGGCAATCTTCGGGCCTCCTGCCGCTCGCCGCTCGGCCCGCTCGCTCCATTCGAGCCACTCCGGCGAGACTTCGGTGCCAATCGCGCCCACGCGGGAGCGCGAGCACCGCGACTCTCTTCTACGGACCAAAAAAGGGCACGGACCGACGAAGAAGAGCGGGCCGGGCAGGGGTCACGAGCGGGCAGGAGAGCGAGGGTGTCCGAGGATCGAGAAAGGGAGGGGGAGGGAGAGGTTTGGGTTTTTCCTCGGTTTGGGCTTTTCCTCGGTGTGGTTTTTTCCTCGGTTTGGGGGGGGGGGTCTCGAGAGAGAGGGAGGGCGACGCGACTTCTCGCGGCCGCCGCTCTCGGACGCCCTCGCGGACGCGCGCTCATCTCGCTCTCTCCGGCCCGCGGGCCCTCCTCCTCGCGATCCCCGGGGCGGCCGGGGTCGGAGGACCGCGCCGCATCGCCGACGCGTCGGCGATGCATCGGCGGTGCAACTCGATGCGGGGCCCCATCTTCTCCACGCCGACGTCGCCGGTGCGTCGCCGACGTCGCCAGTGCACGGCCGATGCATCGGCGATGCATCGCCGAAGTATGAGCGATAGAGCGAGATCATCCGACCCCATCTACTCGGACCCCATCTAGGAGGCCTCTAGTGCTATCCTTCGGGTTCTTTGATTATCCGCGCCCTCTCAGGCGCTTCCTCGCGTCTATCAGCGTCTTCACCTTCGCTCCTTTCCGTCGGCCTCCGTCGAGGCGGTCCGTCGGCGTGACCGCGTTCTCCTGAACGCTCTCCAGCAATACCGCGCCCAGCGCTGGTTGCCGTGGCTCCTATCCTGTCTGCTCCGGGTCGGGGCCGAGCCGATCCAAGCTCTCTCTCGACGAGTCTTAGCCCGCAGGCGTAAGACGACTCTTCAAGAGGTTCATTTCCCCGCAGCCCCCACGTGCCACGCGCTTGATTGCCGCTACCTTCCAAGGATACTTGCGTATGCTTCTGGGCCGCCTAGATAGCACAGCAAACTTCCCCCAACGGTCTGAGGTCATGCCGGGCTTCCTTGCTAGGATTACCCTTGCCTCGAGGGCCCAGGGCGCTCCTCGAGGTTCCCTGACGTAGGAGGATCAGATGTCGTCTTGACTTGCCAAGGCTCCCCGAGATCAGCTATCCTGGCTTGGAGCCAAAAGCAGCAGCGGCACGCATGAACGAACCACTGCGCGCACACGTAGTACGAAACAGTAAACATGCCACGACTGTCACTACTTACGATCCCTTGACCGTAGGCGTTTCATCCTCCTCCTTCTCGTCCTCATCATCCTCCGTCTCCTCCTGCTCCCCCTTCCCCTCCCTTCCCCCAGTTCCTTTTCCTGCGTAGTCATTTTGCTTCGGGATGGAACATGTATTTGATGTACCCTCTGCTTCCCTTCTTGTTGCCCGCATGGCCAGCTGCGGTTGCAAGCGATGTAGGCAGAGGCTTGCCGCGGACGCGCGAGGACGACCTCGAGCCCTCTGGCGGCGCATCCTGGGAGGTCAAGTGGAATCACCGCGTCCCGCCCAGCTCGTTCCACGACGGTCAGAGTTGGCAGCGGTCAAGCGAGGATTGCATCGATCATCAAGTAGATTCCTGGGTTCGCTCAGCGGATGACCCCAGAGTGGTGGCATTCCGCAAGCATTTGGAGCTCCGAAATTGCCTGCCTGGCTTGGAGATGGTTTCGCCAGGCAGCGCTAATTGGACGTCGCGCGCTGCAAAGCTATTTTTTCGTGATGGATTTGTGGTCGTGCGAGATGCGCTGGCGGCAGAACAGCTGACAGCCATCCGGAACGCCACGGACCACATCCTGCAGAAGGCATTGCAGGCAGATCCAGAGGCCAGCTCTGGCCGTGGCCCCTGCCGCCGTGCCCACCGCTACAGCTTGGGCGGGTGCTCGGCTACAAGACAGAATTTTCACCTCTTTGAGTTCTGTGAGCTGATAGATCTTCCCGCGACCACACCCGTATTGAAAGCAATATTCCAGACAGATGATTACCTTGTGCGTGGCTGCGGGGGTGATGTTGCTTTGGCAGGCGCTGTTGAGTACCAGCCTCTGCACCTGGATGCCATTTGGGGCGAATATCCGAATGAGCTGATCTCTTACCTTCGGTCGCCGCCAATCGTTACAGTCAACTTCGCGTTAGAAGACCTGACGGCCGCCAACGGACCCGTGAGGCAGATTCCTCGTTCGCAGCGTTGGCATCGTGAACCACCTTTGTTGCGGGATGAGCCCGAATGGATGAAATTAAGCACGCTTTGTCCTGTCCCCGCTGGGTCGGCTGTTATTCGAGACAATCGCGCTTGGCATGGTGGTACGCCGAATCTGGCAGACAAGCGGCGCACTATGCCGAATGTAGAATACTCTGCACCAGGATTCAACCGTTTCATTCCTGGATGGGATAGACCCGACGCTTTTGCGATGCCACGCAGGCACTTCAATAAGTTGTCAGCCCATGCGAAGCATGTGGCCAGGGAAGTCGTTGCAGCGCCTCGAGTGGTGCCGCGGGGCCAGGGCTGGTATTCTCCATACTTCTGGCCGTATTGACAATGGCACGATATCGGTTCTGCCAGTTGTTGTGGTATTGCCACTCCTGCCCCAACCTGGAGGCGCCATTGTCATCGCGTCAGTCTCTCTCTCTCTCTCTCTCGCTCTATCTCTCTCTCTCTCACTGTCCCTTTATGTGTAAGTCTATGTCTCTCTCTCTCTCGCTCGGTGATGCATCGTTCGATTATTCTGTCTCTGTTTATACACTATATACACATAAGAATTCAATGGCGCGTCGCACCATGCACTTCGGCCCTTCACAATTCTGCATGCAGTCGGAATGACAGAGAGGAGACAGACAACATGGTAATACTAATTCTAGACGCTTCGCGTATCCCCACCAGCCCCGTAGCCACCGGCCCAAGGGTGGCTCAAGTGTTTGTCCATTGTTCCAGTACTAGCTACTTCGGTGTAAGCCACTGGTGCCAAGTATATTATTCGCCGCAGCATGCCACCTGGGTTTGGCATACACTACTTGGCCATTTGTTTATTGTGCTTGGTTTTATTGATATGTGGACTATCGGTCTTTTTCGCCGGCATATCCCGTACCATCTTGTCAAGTGTGCCCAACCGCCTTCCCTCTGATGAGCTTACAGTAAAGAGTTTGCATGCCGATGCACGTTCGATATCTCATCAAACGGAGGCACCTGCATTGCCGAATCAGTCATCAACCAGCAAGGCGAGTGTTCTTGGCCGCTTTCCTCTGGTTGGGAAGCGCACAACTTTGTCTCACAGCTATGCAGATGTAAGTAAGATGGCGTGGGTGCATTTCCCCAAAACCGGGACATCCATTATGAACGCGTTCTTGACAGCTGGTTGCCCAACCATGCCTTCAAACGAATATGTGTCGGACGCGGGTGGAGGAGGATCAGGACACGTCTTATTTTCAGCACTAGCATCTAAATTCCATTCGTCGTGCTATCCGGGGTTTACGTTGTGCGAGAACCACAACCCAATTTCACTTGAAATGCAGGCGTGTCCTTGGTGCGGTCCAACTGATCCAACTTTGACAGGGAATCCTACGAAAGTGGTCCGTGGTTGCCGTAACTGGAACCTGCATCGTGGAAATGTTGTGACATTGTTTCGCCAGCCAGAACAACGCGTTATGTCTTCGTATAAGCATGGGCGGCATGATTGCAGGAATTTCAAGGGAAACATATCTGAATACGGCCAAAGTGTAGCTGGGTGTTACGCAAACATGTTGACTGGTCATCAGTGCGACTGTAGAGACCCAGCCAACGCAAGCAGGGTTTCACTTGCAATCGAGAGGCTTCGGACAGGGTTTGTGTTTGTGGGTCTGGTTGAAGAGTGGTCTCTCTCAGTATGCTTGTTCCACGCAATATTTGGGAGCCGCTGCAGCTCCCGCGATTTTCTCAACGTCCGCCCCGGCAAGGGGGCAAAACAGAAAATGCGCGCCTGTGGCGACGGCCCCAGAGACCCTCACAGCGGCAAGTGCTTTAACAGCTCGTACAGCCACTCCACCGAAGCGCTCCAAGGCTGGACAGATCCGTACGACGGCCCTGTCTATGCGGAGGCCGTTGCCATCTTCTGGGAACGAGTTACCGCCATGGGCGTTGACGCAGAAACTTGCCGGACTGTGATCTGCCCTGGATTTTCCCACTTGTTCTGAATTCGCGCTACCATCCAAGTGACATCATACGTTCCGCCGACCCCCCGAGAACGAGAGAGAAGCAGGACGAGAACGCAATGGACGACAACGACGGCGAGTGCAAGAAGGAAAAGTAGGAGGAAGAGGACGGCGTATAGCCCCTTGGGGTCAAGTGAGTTCTTCGGGGGCTGCCGGTTTCAACATTCCCCCAATCAGTGTTTGCACTGACGGGGTCCTAGCGGATCTTGAAGGATTTGGCGAAAGTGGGCGGCCAACTTCTGTGGGCGGCCTGGTTACCGCGTTCGCGATTCCAGGTTCCAGGGTCATCGTTGGTGGCTGATATCCAAGAGCTGAAACTCACGGGTGCGTGGGTGGATGCGAAGGGAGACGACGGTCTCCGTTTCCAAGCTCAGGGCGCGCGCGATGAGCACCCGCAGTGGTCAAAGTTTGAAGGCGTAGAAGGCAAAATTTGGCACATAGAGCAGGGCGCCTTGCATTTCAACTTTAAAGGCTGCCGCCTCTGCCGCCGACCCCAATTCAGCGACGTATAGTTGAGTCGTTGTTTTGTCAGGGTGCCTTTCCGAGCACGGCAGGAAGGCCTGAGCGTCGCCTCCCTCGGATATATAATATTGTAGTGGCCTCCGGCCAGTGCCGCCGATCCGGGACGCTTCGGATGATGATGATGATGATGATGATGATGATGATGATGATGACGATGATGATGATGATGATGATGTTGATAATGATGATGATGCTGATGATGCTGATGATGCTGATGATGTTGCTGATGATGCTGATGGTGATGATGATGCTGATGATGATGATGCTGATGATGATGCTGATGATGCTGATGATGCTGATGATGCTGATGATGCTGCTGCTGATGATGCTGATGATGCTGATGATGATGATGATGCTGATGATGCTGCTGATGATGATGCTGCTGCTGACGATGCTGATGATGATGATGATGATGCTGATGATGATGATGATGCTGACGCTGATGATGATGATGATGATGATCATGATGATGATGATGATGATGATGATGATGATGATGATGATGATGATGATGATGATGATGATGATGATGATGATGATGATGATGATGATGATGATGATGATGACGATGGTGATGTGACGATGGTGATGGTGATGGTGATGGAGATGGTGATGATCCCGGCTCCCCCTCCCCACCCCCCCTCCTCTCTCCCATCCCCCGCCCCCTCTCTCCTGTCCCCCCCCTCTCTCCTTTCCTTCCCCCCCCCTTTCTTTCCTCTCCCTCCTGTTCCTCTCCTCCCCTCTCCTGTCCCCCCCCCCTCTCTCCCCCCTCTCTCCTGTCCCCCCCCCCCTCTCTCTTGTCCCCTCCCCCCCCCCTCTCTCCTGTCCCCCCCCCCCTCTCCTTTTTCCCCCCACCCTCTCATCCTGTCCCCTCCCTCCCTTGTTCCCCCCCCCTCCCGTCTCCTGTCCCCCCCCCCCCCTCTCTCCTTTTCCCCTCCCCCCCCCCCCTCTCTCCTGTCCCCCCCCTCCCCTCTCCTGTACAATTACTCAATATGAATACTACTCTCTAGACCCCCCCCCTCCGCGTATTGTTTTTTTTACACAGGATTCCCGGGAGTTGGGTTTTCGCCTGCGTTTTTTTCAAAATGCTGCTCTCGCTGAGGCGCCGGCCTCATTTCTGCTCCCGAATCGTTCCGAATCGTGCTCCCGCTGCAGCGTGGGCCTCATTTTCGGATCGGTGTTTTGCCTCCGTCGTTCAGGATGGCGTTCTCGCCCCAGCGCGGGCCTCTTTCTCGCGCGCCCATCCGCCCGCCACCACCGCGCCGCACCACGCCCCGCCCCACCGCACGCACACCCACCGCCACTTCCACCCACCAATGCTTCACGCACGCACGCGCACCACCACCGCGCACCGCCACCACCACCGCACTACCCCACCCACCACCACCACGCTACACCGCGTCAAACCACATCACACGCGCGCACACACAGACACACACGCACGCACGCACGCACGCACGCACGCACGCACGCACGCACGCACGCACGCACGCACGCACGCACGCACACACACACACACACACACACACACACACACACACACACACACACGCACACGCACACGCACACGCACACGCACGCGCACACGCACAGACACACACACACACACACACCACCACCGCCGCCACCACCACCACCGCCATCACGCACGTACGCACCTGGCCCACCACCAAACCACCAAGACGCCACACCACGTCACACCACAGCACACGCGCACACACGCACACACACACGCATACACACCACCACCACAACAACCACAACCACGCACACACGCACGCACGCACGCGCACCACCACCCACTACGCACACGCGCGCGGAGCCACAGGTCCGCTACGACACGCGTCCGCGGATAGAGAAAATCAGCGCCATGGTAAGGGATGGGAGGGAGGGGTAGGATGTCAGATGTTGACGCGAGCGCACCTAACTAGCCACCCCCCCTCTCTCCCCGCCCCTCCCTCTCTCCTTTCGCCCCCCCCCTCTCTCCTGTCCCCCCCCCTCTCTCCTGCCCTCCTCCCCCCTCTCTCCTTTCCCCTCCCCCCCTCGCGTGTCAACTCTTTCGTCGTTGGCGTCCCCCCCCGCAGAGCGAAGCTTGAGCGAGGCCCCCCCCCCTCTCTCCTTTCCCCCCCACCCCCTCGCGTGTCAATTCTTTCGTCGTTTGCGTCCCGCCCCCGACCCCCGCCTCAAGAGCGAAGCTTGGGCGAGCTCAAGCCCACGCTCTCAGAAACTCACACGCCGGATCGGCGGATTTTGTAGATTTTGGGGCTTATTTGTAATGACCGAAATCCATGCCGTGGCACGGCGCTGGAAATATTGACGCCAGCGCTGCAGCGGGAGCACGATTCGGAACGAGCGGAAGCGCGGAAATGAGGCCAGCGCTGCAGCGGGAGCACGATTCGGAACGAGCGGTAGCCCGAACATGAGGCCAGCGTTTCAGCGAGAGCAGCATTTGGAAAAAAAACTTTCTGCGGAAGCGCGGAAATGAGGACGCGTAGTCTGACAGAGCATGCCGTGGCGACATTCCAAAGTGGAAGGAAAGGGGGGCTTCCGCGGCCCAGAAAATCAAGGAATCGACGCCGAACGTGTAATCACTTCCGATGGGTTTTTCGGGAGGCCGTTTTTTTGATTTTGGGGCCCCTTTGGATGGACCGAAAACCATGCCGTGGCACGGCGCTGGAAATAGTGACGCCAGCGCTGCAGTGGCAGCACGGTTCGGAACGAGCGGAAGCGCGGAAGTGAGGCCAGCGCTGGAGCGAGAGCGAGATTCGGAGCGAGCGGTAGCCCGAAAATGAGGCCAGCGCTTCAGCGAGAGCTGCATTTTGACAGAAAACCCTTTCGAGAGCCCAACTGTTCGGAATCCTGTGTGTAAAAACCAGTACGCGGAGCGGGGCCGGACATTCTTCGGACACCACCAGGGGAGAGAGGAGAGTAGTATTCATATTGTGTAATTGTGCAGTCGGAGGAAGAGGAGAATGGGAGTCGGAGGAGCAGGAGAGGAAGGAGGACGCGGAAGAGGGGGACGAGGAGGGGCAGGAAGAGGAGGATGGGAATGACGAGGTCGAGGTAAGGTTGCGGAGCACCGGGGAAAGAGCACGCGGGGGAGGGGGGGAGCATGATGAATACGATGATCAGGAGGCTGAGGATGAGGATGAGGAGGAGGAGGATGCGAAGGAGGGGGATGAGGAGCAGGAGGGAAAGGGTGAGGAGGAGGAGGAGGAGGAGGAGGAGGACGCCGTGGAGCAGGAGGGGGAGGATGAGAAAGCGCATGCGGAGGAGGACGAGGAGACGGACTCGGGGGAGAAGGAGGTTGACAAGGGCAATGAGCAGGTGGAGGACGATGAAGACGAGACGGGGGAACAGGGGGAGGAGGGTGCGGAGCAGGGGGCGGAGGGGATGCTTGTCGGAGTCTCTTCGGGGCGCTTCCGGGGGCCTCCGGTGGGCAGTTCGAGGGCGTTTTGGGAGACGCCTGGGGGGCCTCTTGGGAGCCTCTCGGGGGGCCTCCAGGGGCTTCCGGGTGGCTTCCTCGGTGCGTCTTGGAGGCCTTTTAAGGCTTCCTGAGAGCTCCTCGGGGGCGAGGGCTCGAGATGTCCGCTTGGGTACCCTGTCGGGGCACCCTCTGGGAGCCGTCTTGGGTGCCTCTTGGCCTGTTTTGGAGGCGTCTCGGGTCGTCTTGGGACCCTCTTGGGCCATGTTGGGAACCTCTTGGGGGACTCTGGGCCGTCTTGATGCGATCTGGGGGCCTCTTGGGTCGTCTTGGAGCGTCGGGAAGTGGAAGAGGCGAGAACCGCCGGATCTCAGTCCTCGTTATCCTCGTCCTGGCTTCGGTTTCAGTAGCCACGCGAGTTGCGGGCCGCATCGCATCCTCCCCGGGCCGACTGCGTATTTCCATTGCTTTGCGCACGGTCGTTTCTAGCGCAGCGCTCTGTTGGCCGCCCTCTCGTCTCAGTGCGTTTGTCCGCCTGGGGCTCAGGCCTGGGCCTCCCTTCGCTCGGGAGGGTGGCGGTCGAAACAGGCTCCCGGGGTGAGAGCCCTCAGCCTTACCACGCGCAGATTGCTGCAATGTCAATTCCGACGACGCCTCCTCCTCTCCTGCTTTCCCACTCTCCCAATCTCCTCTTCTCGCACTCTCCCGTTCTCCTACTCTCCTCCTCTCCCACTCTCCTCCGCGTGTTCCTTCTCCTCCTCCTCCTCCTCCTCCACCATTCCTTTTCCTTATGCATGACTCTATCCTGTCGCACCCCGAGGCCAGTCGAAAGGGCGGGCCAGGTGTTTCGCCTGAGACTTCTTCACTATTTATGACCCTGATGCTCAACAACTGACAACAGTTTCACAGAGGGCGGGTCGTTTTCAAAAAGTAGCTCTCGCCTTAGCGCCGCGCGCGTTCGTTTCGAAACATTTGCAAGAGTTTCACGGATTGAGGGCGGGCCGTTTTCAAAATGTGGGTCTCGCCCTAGCGTCGCACACATTCGTTTTCGAAGTTTGCAGGAGTTTCACGGACTGAGGGTAGGTCGTTTTCACTTGAGGCTCTCGCCTTAGCGCCGCGAGCATTCGCTTGAAATATTTGGAACAATTTTCACGGATTGAGGGCGGTTCGTTTGCAAAATGCGGTTCTCGCCTCAGCGTAGCGCGCATTCGTTTAACAATTTGCAGGATGTTCACGGATGGAGGGCAGGCCGTTTTCAAAATGTGGTTCTCGCCTCAGCGCCGCACATATTCGTTTTCAAAGTTTGCAAGAGTTTCACGGATTGAGGGCGGGTCGTGTTCACTTGTGGTTCTCGCCTTGGCGCTGCGCACATTCGTTTGAAACATTTGGAAACATTTCCATGTATTGAGGGTGGTTCGTTTACAAAATGTGGATTTCGAATTAGAACCGCGCGCATTCATTCTAACAATGTGCAAGGGCTTCACGGAACGAGGGCGGCCCGTTTTCAAAATGTGGTTCTCGCCTTAGCGCCGCGCACGTTTTGAGATAACAAGTTTCCAGAACCTGTGTTTTCGAGCGGTTCGGGATTGTCAGGGCGCAGCAGTTATGTCGGTTCGCGGTGTTGACGTCCCAGGAATGGCGTTGTGGCAATATGCAGGATCGTCAAGACGCAGCAGTCAGGTTGATTGATGGCGTTGAAGTCTTAAGAATGATTGACGTGCTTCAAGATTTTCGTACGGTTGTCTCCCAACGGGAAATGTCCCTTAGTAGTGGACGTGAATGTTTGTATGGAGCCTGTTGAGAGGGAGTTTGGAGGGAGGGTGTATCCCAGCATCGTTGATGAGTCTTGGGTTTGCACTGGTCCTCCTCCTCCTCCTCCTCCTCCTCCGCCTCCTCCTTCTCCTCCTCCTCCTCCTCCTCCTCCTCCCCTCCTGTCGAGGCCCGAACGGTCTGCCTGTTGGCTGCTAGATTGCGCGGGGCCCAGGGTCTCCCGTGCGCCGTGGCCTGATTGGCTAGCGGCGGGGACTTACCCTTCACGCTCCGCGTCGGCACGCGGCAAAGAATCATGAGTGGGGGAGGATCCGAACGTTCCTATTTTTCCCGCCCCTTTCCATCCCTAGCGTCAGCACTGTGGGTAGCCGCTGGCCTGCCCGCTGATATCCCCCGAGCCTGACGCCCTTGCTGGAGGCTGGCCAGGCCTGCTGGCGGCGAGGGAGCGGTTCCCTCTCTCCTCCCTCCTTCTTCTCTCTTTCCTGCTCATCCCCCTTATGCTCCTCTTCTTCCTCCTCCTCCTCCTCCTCCTCCTCCTCCTCCTCCTCCGCCTCATCCTCCTGTCGAGGCCAGAACAGGCTGCCTACTGACTGCTAGATTGCGCGGGGCCCAGGGTCTCCCGTGCGCCGCAGAGGGTATTCGTTCGCGGCGGGGACTCACCCTGCACGCTCCGCGTCGGCATGCGGCAGAGAATCATGAGTGGCGGAGGATCAGAACGTCCTTGTTGTTTCCCGCCCCTCTCCATCCCTAGCGTCAGCACTGTGCGTAGCCGCTGGCCTGCCCGCTGCTATCCCCCGAGCCTGACGCCCTTGCTGGAGGCTGGCCAGGCCTGCTGGCGGCGAGGGAGCGGATCCCTCTCTCCTGCCTCCCTCCTCTCTCCTTCCTGCTCATCCTCCTTTTGCTGCTGCTGCTGCTGCACCTCCTCCTCCTCCCTCTCCTCCTCCATTCCGTTTCCTTAGAACTAGCTTCTCCTTGTCGCACCCCGAGGCCTGTTTTTAGGGCTGGCCGGGCGTTTCGCCTGAGACCTCCTCACCATTTATGACCCTGAAGCTTACAATGTTGCAGCATTTTTACGGCTTGACGGCGGGTGGTTTTCAAATTGTGGTTCTTGCCGTATCGCCGCGCTCATTCGTTTTTTAAATTTTGCAGGCGTTTCACGGATTGGGGGCGGGCCGTTTTCAAATTGTGGCGTTCGTCTTAGCGCCGTGCACGCTCGTTGTAAGCATTTGCTAGAGTTTCACGGATCGAGAGCGGTTCTTTTTCAAAACGTGGTTCTCGCCCGAGCGTCGCGCGCATGTGATTTAAACATGTGTGTGGGAGTTTCACGCATTCCCATGATCAACATACTAGGGATGGTGCTTGGGAAAGATCCAGGATCATGAGGGTGTCATAGTTACGTTGGTTCGCGGTGTTGAAGTCCCAGGAATGGCGTTCTGGCAATATTCAGGATCGTCAAGACGCAGCACCCAGGTTGACTGATGGCGTTGAAGTCTTAAGAATGATGTTTGACGTGCTTCAAGATTTTCATACGGTTGTCTCCCAACGGGGCATGTCCCTTAGTAGTGGAAGTGAATTTTTGTATGGGGCCTATTGAGAGGGACCTTGGAGGGAGGGTGTATCCCAGCATCGTTGATGAGTCTTGGGTTTGCACTGATCCTCCTCCTCCTCCTCCTCCTCCTCCTCCTCCGCCTCCTCCTCCTCCTCCTCCTCCTCCTCCCCTCCTGTCGAGGCCCGAACGGTCTGCCTGCGGGCTGCTAGATTGCGCGGGGCCCAGGGTCTCCCGTGCGCCGTGGCCTGATTGGCTAGCGGCGGGGACTTACCCTTCACGCTCCGCGTCGGCACGCGGCAGAGAATCATGAGTGGGGGGGATCAGAACGTGCTTGTTGTTTCCCGCCCCTCTCCATCCCTAGCGTCAGCACTGTGGGTAGCCGCTGGCCTGCCCGCTGCTATCCCCCGAGCCTGACGCCCTTGCGCGCGCATTTGTTTTAAACATGTGTGTGGGAGTTTCACGCATTCCCATGATCAACATACCAGGGATGGTGCTTGGGAGAGATTCAGGATCATGAGGGTGTCATAGTTACGTTGGTTCGCGGTGTTGAAGTCCCAGGAAGGCGTTCTGGCACGATTCAGGATCGTCAAGATGCAACAGTCAGCTCGATCCGTGGCGTTGGAGTCGCGAGAATAATGTGTTGGCATGCTCCAGGGTTTTCAAATGATGTCTTCCAACGAGGCCGTTCCTTCAGTGGAAATGAACCGTTGTAGGGGCCTATGAACAGGGAGCTTGGAGGGAGGGTTAATTCCAACATCGTTGATGGCTCTTGGGCTTACACCAGTCCTCCTCCTCCTCCTCCTCCTCCTCCTCCTCCTCTTCAAACCGTTCATTTTCGGGGCCACGGTATCCTCAAACCGTTCATGCTCGAGGCCACGGCATCTAGGCCATGGGCACGATTCTGGCGCCTCGCCTCGCCCTCCAACCTCGGGCCGCGCGCGCCTGGCCAGTGCTCTTCGAAGGCCGCTCGCGTCCCCCTTCTGGGATCGGCGACGCGCGTGGAAGCCTGGGGTGGGCAGGCGGGGCGATCGGCTGGGCGGAGGGAGGGGGCAGCTTACAAGGTTGCAAATCCGAGGAGAGCGGGTGCTGCCGAGAGGCCGAGAGGTCATTATCGGTGCTGGCTTCGCTCTGCCGTGCTTTTGATTCGTCTGGGCAGAGCTTGAGACTCGTCACTTGATGTGGGAACGACGGGTTGCGGGTTAGCGCGCCCGGCCGAACTGCGCAAGAAAGCACTTCGCAGGCAGATCAACGTTTCTGTTCCATGGATGCCCAGCGCGGTGGAGCCTGGAACCCTTCGCAGCGGTTCTGCCACGGCGGTCGGGTTCATGGTTCTCGGAGGTGAAGTGGTCGTGTACCTTATTTTTGTTCGACACGTTGCATTTTGATTATAATGTGCATGTAGACCTTTCCTCCAATTGGAGAGCCCACGATGGCCCCGAGATGCACCCCACACGGCCTAATACGGAGTCCAGATAGCTCCAGATAGCTCCGAGGCGGCCAAGACGCCTCCAAGACGTCCCTTGGGAAAGCCCGAAGAAGCTAACATAATCGATAAACAATATGAACAAGCTTGTGGACGAGATAAGAGCTGGGTGCAGCGGCGCTGGTTCCCTCCCCCAACCCATGGTATCCAAGACCTCCCCTCAAGGTAGCGGCTGCAGCGCGCGCGGGGCGCCACGTTGAGCGTGGACTTACCCCGACAGGCGTTCCGAGCGGCCAGTAGTGAGCTGCGCACGTAAGACCGCGAGGTGAGGGAGCGGGGTTGGGGGGTGAGGGGTCCTTCGCTCGAAGACCTCCCAGGAGTTGCCTTTTAACCGGTGGAAGTTGAATAGATTGAAGTAAGGTTCTCAAGAGGGCATTAGACGGCCCCGTCGCCGTTGGCAGGTCGGAGCCATGTCGCCTACAATTTACTGCGTGTCTGGCGGTAGGCCTGCCTCTTGAAGCATTGGCAATCGCCCATGAGGATTTCAAGTCGAGGTGTGACTGGCGTCGACGCGTTCTGGAAAAAAAAAAAAAAAAAAAAAAAAAAAAAAAAAAAAAAAAAAAAAAAAAAAAAAAAAAAACGTGTCATTCCTATGGGAAAACGTATATTTTTCGCATGTTCGCATCTTGGGCTTTCACCGCGTCCAAGACGGCCCAAGAGGCCTCCAAGACGGCCTAGGAGGCCTCCGGGAGCGCTCCAAGGCTGCGCACGAGTGGCTCAGGACGGCCCCAAGACGGCCCAAGAGAACCCCAAGACGACTTCGAGAGGGGTCCCAGAAGGAGAAAGCCACTCTCGAATTCCGAGCTTCCGGCCCAACACATCCCAGGAGGCGCCAAAACGCCGCCCAGAGGCGCCAAAAGGCTTCCAAAATCAGCCCAAGACGTTCCGAGAGGCACCCCAAGAGAGGTCCAAGAAGCAAAAATGGTCCCATTCCTATATATATATATATATATATATATAAACACACACCTATATATATATATATATATATACACACACATAACGGCGCACCGGGTCGGGGGGCCGGGGCCGCGACCACGACCACAAATGTGTGTGTGCCCAGGCTCTCGGGGCGCCCCTGAGGCCTTCAAAACGCCCCGGGAACGCGCCAAGAGAACCCGAAGACGCCCCAAGACGGACCCAAGACACCCAAAGGCCGCTCCAAGATGCCCAAGATGGCCCCCAAGACACCTCCAAAGGCCTCGCAGACGCTTTAGGAAGCTCCCGAAAGGCCCCCAGGACGTCCCCAAGAGGCAAAATGGCCCCATTCCCTTCGCAAAACGTACAGTTTTAGCATATGTATTGTTTTCGCTGTCGTACCGTTCTTGACGACATCAGAGGCCCCCAAGACCGCCCCAAGACGGCCCAAGAGGCGTCCCCGAGGGCCCCAAGACGGCCCAAAAGAGCTCCAGGACGGCCCGAGAGGCGCC